TTTAGAGCAAAATCAGAGGCCGAGGACTCCCCAGTAGTCCAATTAAACGCCCCTGAATTCAGACATGATAAAATAAGGTTCCTCGTAGATCCTGGGTCGGACACTAACCTCGTGAAGATGTGTGCATTAAATCCCGTGCTCACACTTGTCCCAGACAAGTGTCTTGAGATTACAGGAATAACTAATCACGCTGTTAGAACAATGGGAACCATTCAGTTAACTATCGATAATGTTCCGGTAGAATCTCACGTCGTCAAAAACTGTTTTCCCATTTCGACCCATGGTATCCTTGGAAGACCGTATCTACGACAGGTCCAAGCCCAAATTTCTTTTAGGCATAACACCCTTGTGACCATATCTTCTCCTATCAATTTTGTTGATAAGGAATCACTGGAGGCTAAAAAAGCCGTAAGGTCTGAAATCAAACCGTTTGCTCGAGTCCTACGCATCAAATCCCGCACAAAAACCCCAGTCGCGATAGACATAATTAACACAGGGTTAAAAGAAGGATATCTTCCTCGAATCGAAACACCAGAAGGACTTTTATTATTACTCAATTATCAATTATTACTCAAAAGTGCTGTACAGTGCAGAACAATGTTACCCCAAGGCTGAAAAGGAGTGCTTAGCTATACTGTACGCGACCGAACACTTTAAACCCTATCTATATGGCCGCGAGTTCGTTCTAGCCTGTGATTTTGAGCCGGTACACTGGATGACCTATATCGATAATCCGGGACCACGAATTCAAAGATGGAGAATTCGTCTTCAGAATTATCAATATAAGTTTGAATATAAGCCCGAAAAATTCAATAGGATTGTTGAAGCGTTATCAACAAATCCTGTTGATGGAGAAAACGGGTCGAATTCAGATTCCAGTTGGTCAGAATCATTCTCCTCGGATCCCGAAAAGCCCAAGTATCGGAAAAGGGCAATCACTCGTAAAACGGAATCCAGTGATGTCGAGCCAAGCGAAAAGGTGAACACATGTCGGGCATTACCTATAACGCGTTCCTCAACCAGCGAAGCGAAAGAAAGTGCGCGAGTGAACCCAAAGGATAAACAAGGAAAGTCCGAAGGAACTGAAAAGGCCAGCGCGTCAACAACCCGACAACGATTTGGTAGTTTACAAAAAAAACTCAAACCAAAACAAACGAAACCACGACCCGGACCTTCCTCCAAACTTGGGACTACGCAAAAGTTGTTTAATCCAAAACATACAGGAAAGGAACCTCCCCGTCGACCCTCCGTTACCACGGTTTCAAAAGGGATAACGGAACCAAGAAAAACAATTCTAAAGCGACCAAAGGATCCGGAACCAAGTACCAGCTCGGGACAACCAAGCGGTTCAAAGGGTCCCCCTACTAAATTCAATTTAAATCCTACTAAGACGGCTGCCAAGGAACCTCCTCGTCGAGGGCGACCTGTTGGAAGTACCAAATCGCAATGGCTGATAGTGACGAAACCTATCGACCGCCGCAAGATATCCCCGTTAGTGAAGCGGACGAAAGCTGCGTCGCCAACAGACTACGACCCCGAGGAACCACTGCTCCGAAGGAGGATACAACTAAGGAACCGTCCTATTCATCATCAAGTGATGAAAGCGCAAAAGAAGAATCGGAGGAAGGAACAGATGAAGATTCGGATCCCCCGGTGTTCCGAGAAGACTATAGTGCTTTCCCTAATCTTCCTGTCCATACTACTCCACTTAAATCACCTAAGCTCAGAACCAACGCCCCTCAGAGTCAAGGCCCTAATCCGTACACGGACGTTTTCGTTGATGGAGCCTGCTGCGAAAATAGAGGATCCAGTCCAAAAGCAGGAATTGGCGTATGGTTTGGTCCAGACAATCCTTTAAACATTTCTCGACGTTATAACGGACGTCAAACGAATAACGCTTCCGAAATCGAAGCAGCCACTATGGATGCTCGACAGGCCAAAAAAGCGGGTATCAAAAGACTAAGGATCAAAACAGATTCCCGATACTTGGTGCAGAGCGTTGAGGAATGGATACCGAAATGGAAACAGAACGATTGGAGGACAACAGAGAACAAACCGGTAAAGAATAGGAAGCCTTACGAACGATTAATTAAGGCTATCGAACCTCTTGACGTTGTTTGGGAGCATATCCCTGGACATAAGGGCATCACCGGCAACGAGAACGCGGATCGTCTCGCTAGAGAAGGAGCTCTGAAAAATCCAGAACCGGATTCATCGCCATCATCGGAATCGGAACCTGAGGAGTTACCTCTAGAAGAAATGATCATCGAAGGCCGACGCAAAATTGATAACAGCGATGACGAAACCAGCGAATCAGATGATCAGAACCCAGGACAACGATCACTGTCCGACGCTAAACAGCTGATTCAGGGTGTATCAGAATCTGTCAATAGATTCGATCGATCGATTGCGAACGCCGGATTAAATCTCTCCAATCCGACAAACAATACTCTGCTTTGGGATTATGAAGGCCTAGACCATAGTCCACGAAGACAATATGTGTCTGACGGTCAGGAAGATCAAGAACATCTGGACTATTTAGAAACTCTTGTTCCTGCCGTTGGAACCGATGACGAACTCTCCAAAAGAGTAAAGAAATTTCTGGACGACTTCAACCGGAGTAGAGCGAAAAAATTTAATGAATCAGAAGAGTTTTCAAGTGAGCAACCTGAATTGCCCACCACGGTGAAAGGATCACAAAAGGAAACTCCTCTAACTAGTAAGTAATCAACTATCCCACGTGCACAATCCACCCCGTTCACGGGATTCAAGGATGAAAGGATCAACTCTAACCGGGAGATCACTGCGAGGAATCAGGGCATGAAACCTAGACGAATACAGGATACAGACAATGATGTAGCAAAGAAGTGCGCGCCTCTTAGCTCTTCGTTCCTAAACTTGAGGAATTCATGTTTTGATCCTCCATCATCTTCCGGGACATCCAGTGAAAGTGATCGTGATTGTGATAGTGAACCCCAAGAATTGAAACCGAACAACAGCAAACCCCTTGGTGGTGTAACAAATCAATGGACGGAACATTTGACGTACAGACGAGACAACTATGCCCACTTCCTTTCTGAAGATTGTGAACCGGTCGATCCAATCTCGAAACTATTATTCGCTACAGAAAATATCGACTTACAGGACATTAAGGACAGTAGACCCGTCAAAGGACAAATTTTTATCTCCCGTAATGGTAAGTACAAGGTCTTTTCGATCATTGTTAAAAGACGTCATTTTGATGAAATTTGTTGAAAAGATGTTATAATCGGACTAAAAAATTTAAGAAAAGCCTTAGCATGTAACAATCAAAATTCTTGTCTTCATCATCACCATCTTCTGTGAAAACCATGAACTTAAGGTCCTTATCGACATACCGCTCCTAGAAAAGTACAACTATCAGGCTTTTAAAATCCATTCTCTTCCAACTGTTCAAGAAATATTTGAGAATAGTACTGGAAGAGCCTATATAAAATCTAAATACGACTACCTTATTATAGACGAAGATCAGAGAACATATCTGCTATTAAAAGAACAGGAATGGAATTCGTGCAAGTCAACGACATCATTCCACGCCTGTCTCCAAGGTGCTCCAATATACGATCTCCGAGAACAAACATCTTGCGAAGCTCTGCTCCTAGTTAGACCCGAAGCAGAAGCGTTTAAATTTTGTGATATTCGAGTTACCAGTGAAGCAGATTCTTATTGGAAACCCTTGACCACTATTGGAGGTTGGATGTTTTCTTTCGCTGCACCAAAAACAGCGACGATTGCTTGCCACTCCATGAAACCGATCAAACTCATGCTGAGTGGAGTCGGAATCCTCAAATTGGGTCCTGGATGCTCCATAAAAACCAACGATGCTATAATACCAGCCACCACCACACAAGCTGGACAAACAGAGTTTATATTCGAATCGGATCTGCAGTTGAATTTATCTAAACTTTCCCCAGCATTGCTGATATACAACCATTTGACAAAAAAGGCGGGAATTTTTATAAAATCCGACGTTGAATTTGATTCAAAACTAGACACCTTCGAATTGAACTCCAAAACATTAGACGAACTTGAACAACAGCTACAAGAACTTGCCTTACAACAGCACCATAGGGGAAGACATTCAACATTGATCTACGGCTCCTATGGCGGCATCCTTCTGCTATGCATACTGTTCACTATATACCTGTGCCGGTCACAGCATATAAGCACATATAAGAACATATAAGCTGTCTCAAACAATTTTCTCAAAGTCGAGAGATGAGAACATTCAAACGTCACAACGAAGGAAGCCGTTGATTAAAACTCCAACACCCAAGGATGTTGCTGGATTATACGAGGATATCCCTTCTACAAGTAGAACCGCTGTCAACAAGGAGGTGACCGTACAACAAAAAACAACCTCAACTGAACCAGCAACTACCCAAGGAAAGGAGATAAAGTTTGCAACGTCCGAAGATAGACCATCAGTGAAGATCAGATGACTAACCGAAGGGTTAGGTTCCAAGCTGCGTGGAATCCAGGTAGAGGAGACTTCATTGGGAAAGAATCGCCAACCACCTTCTCGCCAGTAGTTCCGCCAAACATAACCTTGCAAGACAACAATGAAGATCTTCGACTTAAGAGGTTAGTGTCCACGATGACCCTAAGAAACGTTCAAAATCGCCACCTGAAACAGCCTGATGTCGCAGGTCTATTTATCTATTTCTTCTTACACATAATTATCCAAAGAAATTTTTTTTAAATTCAAACTCAATTTCAAATTTTTTTTTGCCTAATATAAATTCAATATTAAAAGATTTCCTCATTCTACTAAATGGGACTGTTTGAATCTTATTATTAAGTTACTAATAAATTCTTATCAACATAAAAAAAAATAGTTTAATGATTTATTCATTGTGTAATCTAAATATTCAAATTTAATTATCTTAAGATGAATTAAACACTTTACAAGATATATATTGACAAAATTTTGATAGGTTAGTCTAAATAATAACCATTAATTGCGTTTTATTTTATTTTATTTTTTTTACAATGAGTAAGAGCACTGAAATGAAAAGGGCCCGTGTTTTGCTTTCTGACCTAATTATTTGACTTTGACCCACAAGGGGTTATCGCAAAATTTTTGCCCACGCACAAAATGGACATTTCTCAGACCAGGTGTCAGAGAGCTTGATAACCGCAACTTGTACGCACAGCTTGTACATCTCCACACGTACGAATATAATTGATTAGTCACCCTCTGTGGAAGATGGTGAATAATGTCCGCTTAAAAGAAAAAAAAAGAGAGAGAGAGAAACAGAATTAAATAGATATGAATATATAATTACTACTTATATACCTTGTTAAAATACTAGAAACAGTAGGTACTTAAAACTTACTCGATAGGGTCCAATAGCGTTGATACGGTCCACTTCTCTTTGGAATACCTCAGTGTGATTCAGGCTATCGATATCCTTCCTCTCCCGGAATAGCTTCACGTGTATCATCTCGTGCAGCATGGTCCCGATCAGATCTTCTTCAGGAAGCAACTTGTGTATTTTCCAGTTTATGCGCACCTCGCGCCTAGGCAAATCCGTGCACCCCGAAGCGGATGGCATTTTCGGCCCCCAGTGAAACGTGTAGCCCGCATTTGCGAGCTCATTATTAAAATAGATCTCGTCCAAATGGTCATACAGTCCTTTTAGATCCGGACGCCCGTCCGTAGCCCGTTTGCGCTGAAATAATTTCAACCCTGTCTCCAAGGGTTGTTTCTGCGATCTAGTTACTCTACCGCTCATGTTGAAAATACACCTAAACGCAAACAAAATGTGTATTAAAACAAAAAAAAGAGGTTTTTTTTGTGACTTTAGAAAGTTAGTTGAGTAAACAAAATTCAGTAAAAAAAAAGAGAAAAGCAGAATTTCGCAAACAGGGTGTCAAGAATGTCGTTTCCGGAGCGCCCCAACTTTAGAGTCATTTTTGAGGCATTTCCGTTAAAGATAGACGACAAACGAAAGTAGGGAAAAATGTTGGAACTATGATTCCAAGGAATAATATAGTATTCGCTAGACAAAAATCGGTTTATTTACGCGGTATTTATGACCAATTTTCTCAACCCTGTCATTTCCGAGCGCGCGAAGTACTTGCCAGCGGCCGCCGCCGAGCATGGCAGTCACTGCCGACTACGTGAGAACCCCGTCGGACAAAAACTGTAGACCGTATGAACTAAATGAAACTTAGCTTCCAATTAAATTTTATAATTGGTATTTTATTTTTAAAAAAATTTTTTTTTCTTTCAAATAAATGCAAAATTAACCATTTGGGTCAGAATTCGTGAAATTTTCACAGAAAATAAAAAGTATTTTTTTTAAATCGAAATGTTGAAAAAACATTTCTATTTGGCCTTAAGAATGTGTCCACCAAAAAACAGGAAAAAAAATTATTTTTTATAAAAGTTATTGCAAAATTAATTTTTTAGCAACTTTTTAAACAAAATTTTATTTCTCCTAAATGAATGAACCGATTTAAATGAACCAAGCGGGAATATCAAGGGGATAAAATATACTTTCGTTTAGAATTAGAAAATTTCTAAAAAGTTTATTTTTTAATAATTATTTAATAAATTTTTTATAAACAATTAATTTTTTTTAATGTTATGCGCCTTTTAAAAATTTGAAAAAAATATTAACATACACTTAAAACTATAAGAAATCAAAATCCGTTGAGAAAATTTTGGAGCGACAATTATTTAAAAAGTTATAAACAAATTATATTGAACGGAGATGCGATTTTGATGATTTTCAGAATTAAAACATTATTTTTAACTACGAAATGAACAAAACACTGTCAAATTAACATTTTTATTCAATTATATAACCATAAAAATTGATAAAAATGATCAAAAACTAAGTTCAGCGTTGATGCACAACACCGCGCCAATATAATTTGTTTATAACTTTTAAAATAATTGTCGCTCCAAAATTTTCTCAACGGATTTTGATTTCTTATAGTTTTAAGTGTATGTTAATATTTTTTTCAAATTTTTAAAAGGCGCAGAACATTAAATAAAATTAATTGTTAATAAAAAATTTATTAAATAATTATTAAAAAATAAACTTTTTAAAAATTTTCTAACTCTAAACGAAAGTATATTTTATCCCCTTGATATTCCCGCTTGGTTCATTTAAATCGGTTCATTCATTTAGGAGAAATAAAATTTTGTTTAAAAAGTTGCTAAAAAATTAATTTTGCAATAACTTTTATAAAAAATAATTTTTTTTCCTGTTTTTTGGTGGACACATTCTTAAGGCCAAATAGAAATGTTTTTTCAACACTTCGATTTAAAAAAAATACTTTTTATTTTCTGTGAAAATTTCACGAATTCTGACCCATTTTAAAATTATTCTTAACTTGAAATAAACTCATGTCTAAAATTTAATTAAAATACATTAAAGAATGAATACAAAACATTAGTTTTGAGACAATAATAAATAATTATTATTATAAATTATAATTATATATAAATAATTATAATTATTATAATTATTATAATTATTACAATGTTCAATAATTATGCGAGAGTATGACACTTATGCAAAAAATATATATATTTTAATTGCATTTAAAAACGAAAATTTCTTACTTTATAATTTATTAAAATTTAAATAAATGTGTCTTGGGCTAAAATTCCTGATGTACAAATTTTGCTGTTCATGAAAGTGATTGAATGTATTGCGAATAAAATTAATGAAGTGCAGGGTGATCATAAGTTTCAATTTATGAATTTCCCTGACAATTTATTGACATTGAATTGAATTTCTCTCACGAAATTCTTTTTACAAGAAAATATGAATATTTACGGAAAATGAGTAAAATCTATGAATTTTAAATTAAAAAAATTACTATTATTACCTTTTTTTAATTCATATACTTTCTACAAATTTTTAGCTTAACTTATCTCTGAATCAATTAATTTAAATAATTTTCCAAAGGTCCAAAAAGTAAGTTTTCACAAATGTTTATTTACATTATTCGAAGATAATTAAATCTAATAATTAGTTTTAAAAATATTATAATGTTATTTTTCGAAGGTAAATGAATTTCTTAAAATGATTCTTATATCCTAATTTAAAAAAAACTAATTAATTTTTGATGAATTTTCATTGAGAATTTTGAACATGATTGTTTTCTCCAAAATGTTAGAAATAATTCTAAAATGTTATCATTTTTGTATGTATTTTTTTTTGGAAATATGTAATTGAAAATATTGAATTTTAAACATTAGAAGCTAATTTTTATAAATTTTCATTTTTAAATTTACCGTTAAAATTTTTTTTGTGATAAATTTTAATAAATAATAAATTAATTATTTTCAATTGAATTTTGCAAAATTTCAACTATTTAAAAAGGTTACTATTGTAGACATATTTAAAAAAATTTAATTATGTTAAAAAATTATTTAAAGCAATCTAAGTATACTTATTTTTAATTATCTATAACTTAATCTATTGAATTTAGGAAAATTACATCAAGAGGACAAGTCTTTGTTCTTTCGTCTACTTTTAAATAATCTTTAGAAAACTAAATTTTTATTAATGTTTATTAAAAAATTATTTTATACCTAAAAAAAGTTGATTTTTAAAATTTAGGCATGATTATTTCTAATTTTATTATTGAAATACACAACTCAAAATAATAATAATACGCCACAAAAGGGCCCAACTAATAAAAAAATAAATAAAATGCCTTCAAATTGTTTAAAATAAATAGTTCAGCAGAACATTTCCGCGCGCTTGCGCGCGGATAGTTTGGCTAATACTATATAATAATCGTAAATTTCTGTTAGCAAATTCTCTGCATTCATTTGTTTATTTTGAAAATTTTTGTGGGTTATCATTTTTTTTGTTTTGTCAAACTTGTTAACGGTTACGTATACTTATCGATATAAAATTTACAAGACGCATGCATTGCAATTTTATTGTTTATAAAAATAATGTCATTTTTGCGAAGAATTTCATAAAAATATTTTAAATAATTGAATTTTCGTGAATGATTTTGTTATTTGTCGAGATGATTGAATTCTCTCGAAGAATTATTTACGTAAATAATTGAATTGTTTGGAAGAATTCTCATATCTTTGTAAGTAGTTCAATTCTTCAAAGGAATAAAAAAAACATTTTTTTTAATAATGGATTTCTTCGGGGAATTTTGTTATTTTTGAAAATGGTCGAATTATTGCGGAAAAGTTTATTAACACGTTTAAAAAGAATTGAATTTCTGTGAAGAATTTTGTTATTATTAGAGAAAGTAATTGAATTATTGTAAAAAGAAAATAAATTGTATGAAATTTTCTTAAATAATTGATTTTTTTTTTTAAGTGTTTTTGAAAATTCTATTTTGAATTAATTGAATTAATTTGCGAGATTTCATGAGAATACTTGATTTTGAAAATAATTGAATTTCGAATATTTTTTTTATAATTCAATTTTTTTTAAAGAATGTGACTATAATTTTTGAGAATAGTTTTTGATCTCTAGTGTTAGCGAATTTAAAGTTGTGAAAATTTTTTATAAATATTATTATTTATATTCTTTGTTCAAAAGGTTGTATATTATAATTTTTTTTACCTTCTAAAAGTATCAGATAACAATTTTTGCAAAATTCATTTTTTATCGTACAATAAGGTTTAATTATTTTCTATTTAGAAAATCTGATGTCAAAGTGGAAATTAGTATCAAAATTTGTTAAAGATTATTTTATATACTTCAAAATTTTTAAATAATATAAATTGAAAATTTAATTCTAATTAGTTTTTCAGTTATGTGTCATAATAATTAATTCTTTAAAAATTACTCAAATTAAAATGACTTGAAATTGTTTATAATAATCAGTGCAATACAACATTCCCGCGCGCTTCCACGCGGATAATTTGGCTAGTTCTGAATGATATTTTTCAACGTTGAAAAGATTTTATTTAGTTCAGTTTTTTTTTATTACAATAATTAGACTTTACAGATTAAATTTTTTAAAAATGATTTAATTATTTAAAAATTGCAAAAGAAAAATCATTATTATTTATTTTTTTTTAATTATTTTGGAATAATTTTATTTAAATTAAAAAAAAAATAAATAAATAATAATAAATAAATAAAAATTCGTATTTTTATACTTTTGGCTAACAATTCTGTGGAATTGATTTTTTTTTAAATTTTAATTGCGAATTTTATTATTTGAAGTTTTATTTTCTAACACATATTTAATTGAAGAGTTTACAAGTGATTGAAATTTCGTAATGTTGAATATTGTAAATGGTCCCTAATTTTCATTTTGGTCCGCGAAGTCCGTATTTTGAATACTTTCACTGATTCGAGCCTTGCAGTTAGGATTATGTAGAATTCTAGTAAGATGCTTCCTCAATTCAGTGATTTTATTAATGTCTGCTAAAACATTTTCGAGAGGAATTCAATTGTAAGGAATTATATTGAAATTCTGCGCAGACATTTGATTGTATTCATGGAATGGTTGAAGTTTCACAAGGAACTCAGTTGTTCTCGTGTATAATGATTTTGGTTAAATTAAGAAAACATTAATTTTAACTGTACCTTTGGCTTATGGGAGTGAGCTCCAGAAAGATCCTTCACTTATTGACCAATTGCAGAACAAATTATATATACATACGTATATATATATGAGTTATTTAGTTTTCAAATCTTATCACCACCTCACTTTAAATATTGAACGACAAACGGAAACGCAATTTGGAATAAAACCGAAACTTGAACGATTTGTATTTATTCTACTATCGCACGGGCAATACGCACGTTAGAAAAGGCAAGCACGGACTGAAAATGAATAAGCATGGTATGTCCAACGAGGAAAGCATTTTGTCACAAGGAAGTGTTTATGCGATCGGTCACGTCGGGTCGGTGCTGAGCTCGCCCGTCGCGCCATTCAATCCCTCGACGGTCGTAAAACTTGTTGAACCAAAGACCTTATGAAGTTTAACGCGTAAATAATGAGGGTCGGACGGTAGAAAATCATAAGAGAAGAAAACTGTTTCTCTTCTCCGATTTCAACCTCGCTATTTTCACTTGTCTATTTCGTTACAGGCCTGTAAATGATATTCTCAGCATTAAAGATTTTATTCATTCCAAACTAAAATTCCTTCCATCAACACTATTTAGACCTACTGAACAGGGCGTCTACTATTTTCATTTAACAAATTTCCCGGTTTTTCCCGGAATTTTTCTCATCAAATTTAAATTAATTTCGAACATAAATAAATCTTTAAAAAATTTTGAAAATAATTTTTTTTTTGATAATTTTAACTGGAAATTTGGAAAATAATTGAAGTGAACGAAGAATTTTTTTTTGTTTTTTTTTTAAATATATATAGAAATAATCTTGTCCCCTTATAATTAAAATTAAAATTTTTTTGATTTTTCAATTTTACTAAAATTATATTGATAATGATTAAATTTCTGGAAAAAATTTTACTATTTGGGAAAATGATTTAATCTTCCAAAGGAAAATTTCTATTATTTGTTTAAAAGAAATTCAGTTATCCTAAAACAATAGAATTAAACAAAAATTATTACAACATGATCTTATTTTTCAGATTTAAAAAGAAAATTTGCGAAGGTTCAATTTTACAGGGTGGCCATTTTTTTTGTTTGTAAAAAATTTTTTTTCTCACGGTCATTCTCCCGGTCCATTCCCTGTTATAAATTATTTTTCCTAGTCATAACTAATAACTCCGAAAAGAAATTATTCCACCAAAGATTCAAAGAATTTCCTGATTTTTATACAAACTTTGATTTTTCCCAAACCCTAAAAATATTTAATTTACTCTAAAAATAATTTTGAACTTAAATAGAATTTTAAATAAATATTTAATTATTATCCATTATTTTTCCATATAGTAGATATTCAAGTTTAAAAAAAAAATTTTTTTTTCAAATTCCAAATCCTTTAAATTTAAATAATTTTTAAGAATTGCCACTGTAACTTTATTAAAGAATTATTTTTAAAAAAAAATTTTAATTCAATTATATTCTAGAAATAACTAAGATATATCTAAAATCCACTTGTTTACAAGACAATTTCATGAAATTTCGAATAATTTGAGAATTCTTCAATTAAATACTACATATTTAAAAACATAATTAAAAAAAAATGTTAATAAAAATATTGTTAAAAAAAATAACTTATTCAGAATTTTAATTGAAATCTTTTAAAATTCAATTTTTCTGAGACTTCAATTTGAAAATTTTAAAATTCAATCTATAATAATATTAGTAATATTAACCTAACCTTCTGAAATATAAAAATTTTTGCTTATGAATAATTGTAAAAAAAACTAATTGATATTAATGAAAATGTGTTTTTTTTAACATTTGTTTTCTAAGAAAGGAAGTTTTATTTATTTTATTTACCTTATTTATTATTAATTTTATAAATCTCGTATCACTTTTGTTCTAATTAGTTCACATTCTTAATAATTCTTATTTGTTTTGTTATAATATTATTGCAAGAAAATTTTAAATTGATTTATTTTTGACTATTTTATAGGATGTGAAATTGTTTTTTTATTAACTAATAAAAATTTTAATCATTAATCTTCGCTAGAAGCTTGAATACATTAGAATATGACTTTTTTTAAATTCAGTTATTAATCAATTATTAAATTAAAATACATTGCGAATTCAATTTGTTAAAAAAAATTTCTAATGAATTCTTTAAGAAATTTAATTACACATTTTCAGTCGAAGTTCACTATGTTTCGATTAACTCCGTATTCTTTATTTATTTACATAATGTGTTTGAATTGGTGACTGATAATTTTCTTTTACTATTAAATTAATTATTTTTAACTAATTTGAATTTAGAGAACAGAATAAAATATCTATAAGAATTGAAATGAAGAGTGAATTTTGATATCAATTTAAGATAATAAAATCTTTAATTTTGAAAAAAAAATTTCCCGGTTTGGCATAAAACTCCCGGCTAATTCCCGGTTTCTCCGGGAATTCCTGTCAGAACCAATTGGGATATAGAATAAGAGAATATAAACTTACCCTCTTTCTGATTCACGCTGCAGGAAGGCATTTTTCGCCTCAAAATATCGTCTTATTTTGGCTGAATAGGATGCTAGGTTGCGCTGGGCATTATTCTCAAATAATTTTGTCAGCAAATAACCCCTCATGATGACAAACCTGTCACCTGGAATCAACCCGCATATCTGCCTGCCTCGCCTCACTATATCTAGGGCACTATCTACTTCAGACCCATAATGAGAGTGAGAAGAAGAATCATCTTCTCTATCATTATACTCGAGAACGGTTTCACAGCTAACAGAGGACATTTTTTTTAAAAAAGAGGCACTAGTAGTCACAATTGGTTAAGGGCGAAGTATCACTCTCTCTGACCGCACTCTAATCGAAGGAAAGGCCGTAAGAAAACTGAACCACTGGAGTGAGGTACTGGACCGCTACGCTTGACATTGACATTACGTCACTAAATTGACGGTTCCCAGTTGCGTTTGTACTACTTAGGAGATGTGCGGGCGCAACGTTAAAATACAAGCGTCTAATTTAATTAAGCACCACTGAGACGGTTCGAAGAATGTACCATGTTGCGATCAAAATGTCACGTATTTCGGAAGGGTAGTTTCAGTAGTAAGATGGAAACTAGATTTTGGCTCACATTTCAGTGCAATTACCGAAAGCCATTTTTGGGCTCTTTAAAATTTTGTGTAATAGTAGAAAATTAAAAACACAAAAGTTATTGTATTAGTTATTTGAGAAATTTTCTAGAAAATATTTCTTTAAAAATTTCCCAAATTTCCAAAAAAAAAAAAAATAATAATAATTATTATTAAACAAATAAAGCATGCTATTTGTAAAACAGTTTTCAAAGTATATGCTTTCTGCCTTGCAATTGAAATTAGACTTGAAAGCTGTTTTATGTTTTGTATTTAAATTTTTGCGAAACCATTTAGTATTTAATAAATAATCGGGTTTGATACCCAATATATTATTACTGTATCCTAATCTTAATCGGAATTTTAATTAATAATTGACAATAATGATAACCAATTAAGAAAGAAAATTTTAAGGCTATTGCCGAAGCAATTGTCCAACTCTGTAAAACATAAAAGAAGGCGCAATGCTGCAGCCAAAATACGTACATAAATCTGAATAATTAAATTTAAAATTTTATGTTAATAATAAAAAAAACGAAAAAAAACGAAAACGCAAGCGTAATTCTAAAATATTGAAACATCAACTAGAAATTGCATCGAGAGATTGTACATGTGTGTGGAGGGACGACGGCAACATACACAATAAAGCAACGCGTATGTGTCTGTGCGTCCGGAGGTTATAAACACCAACACAAGCAACGACTCCCCGGGCTGCAGTACTACTATCGGTTCAAAAAGTATAGTCAGTTGACTTTGAAGGCTTGTAACTTGAGTAAAAAAAATCGCACAATATTGAAACTGGATGAAATCAGTAGGTAATTTATTTCTACGTAACTGCAGAAAATGAAAAACTAAAAAAAAATTTTCTCTTAAAGTTATTAATTTTTGAATGAAAAAAGTACATGTTTTTTGACACTGTTTTCAAAAAGGCCTACTTTGGAAACACGTAACTCGTTTAATAAGAGTCCTATAAAGTTCCTGATTTTTTTCTATGTTCCTTGAATCTTCCTGAATAATGTTGTTTAAACAAATAAGCGTTATTATAATAACTTTTTGAGATTATTAAACATAACCGTAGACATGTTATCTCTGTTGTAAAAAAAGGTACAAAGATGAGACAAAATGCACTTTACGGAGAATTCGACACTGATTACAATCAATTGAAAAAATTTTCTAAAAAAAATTATTTCAATGAATTACATATTTGCAAGAGAATTTTGTGTTTTTTGCTTTATTGCACTATTATCAGACAGGTGCTTCCCATCGTAAGTCTTTTTGTCAGTGAATTAAAGTTTACTGCTACTACCCTTTTTTTGGTAAGTTTTTTTCGTGGTTCACACAGATTTATTGCTTTAAGGATCGGGTGTCGAAGGATAGGCAAAGGTGTAAACATCGAAAATATTTTTGCTCAGCAAAAGAAAATTCTAATTTGAACCCCGGCGTTCAATAACAGTTATTGAGCTTAACTGTACGTTTGGGTTCCAGTCAAGTAGCAGTGACAACCTCTGAGTCTCTCATTTATACTTGACTGGCATTACGGCTTGTAAACGCGCTTACCTGCAGTTATTGCATGCGTTGCTTCTATTGTATACAGATCTGAGTGAAACCTACCTGGAGTTTCCAATCCCTCAGTTATTCAATTCACTGTTTCTGGTCATTTTTGAATTACGAGAACGATCGCGCGCTGCCGCGCGCGCGTTTTTTCTCTTGCATTTTTATTCTTTAAATTACAGTCTTTTGTTTGTTAAGGTATCAATTTGAGTGACAGTTTCTGATAATAGGAATTTTTAAATATTATTCAATTTAATAAAATAATAGCCTATGTTGTGCGTAAAACAATTTTTTATACCTTTACAATTCTAGTTCTGTTTTTATCTGTTTCTAAATGTATCATTTCTAAAGTTTATGGTTTTGATAAAAAAAACAACACTTCTCTTTGCTTAAAGAAAAGCGTATATTTCAAGAATGGCACATTTTATAAAAAGTTTTGTACGATGGAGTTATAGAAAACCTTTTTATAATCAAAGTAATCTATTTGTTAATTAAATTTTGTAACATTTAAAATCTTCCATAGTAAATTTATATTTTAAAAAATAGTGATGAAAGAAAAACGTTACTAAATAAACAATTTTTAACTATTTTTCACTTAGCTAGCAAAAAACATCTCTACTGTCAAAGAAAGCCATAAACAGAGGATATTAAATTTAAAATTTACTTTTGTTTCTTAAAATCGTTCCTACTTTTGCTATAAAAAAGATATATAAGTGTGGTTTCTGTAAATATTATACAAAAAATGTAAGTACTCCGTCATTTCGAAGAAAATAATTTATTTCAATATATGCTTTTCTACAAGATTCATGGGATGCAAAATTTCGTTAATAATCTTGAGAAATATTATCTTTAAACTTTTTTCAAAGTTAATTTGGATGAACTGGTTGGCAGTACATTAAAATACGTACAAATAAGTGTCTTAATTATCTGAAGTTTGAACTATTATTTGAAATTAGGAAATTAAAACGTCTTTGACCAATTGATAAGAAAGAAACGTGTAAAGAAATCTTACGTGTGAATCTTATTACAAAAAAATGACGTAATTTACCAATAACAAGCGTCGAAGAAAGTCTTACGCGTAAAGACAGCCATACTGAGACACACTCCTTTTTTAAGAAAAAAAATATATAACGACTCAGACATTTTTATAGAAAAAATATTTACTTTTATTTCAATAATTCAGTGTAAACATAATTCTTGATTAGTAAATTAGGTCTTTGATTTCCTAAATATATAATTAATGATTCCCAAGATTTAACTCGTGAAAATGCAACATATACTTGCCCATGATTAAATACATTTTTACAAAGGTTTACACCAATCTTGTCAAAAGTTTGTCTTTGGCTTTTATTTATTGTTATTGCGAATGCTAATTTTATAGGAAATTGCCGTCGTTTGAAAGTAAAAGGATAAATATCCTCACAATACAGCGTAATACGATTTATAAATACAATATCTCCAACCTTATCACCTGTTAAAATACGACAACGTAGCAGATTGTTTGATAGTTCTAATACCTGCATTCGCGTTCCATTACATAAACCTTCATTAATACTAAGATTTCGAAGTAGCATGACAATACAATTGGCTCTTAATCGTAATTCATAATTCTCCAAATATTTTATGAATGATATCACCATTTTCTACACATTGCTCTGGTGCTAGTATATTATTATCATTATCATTTAAAGTACCATTTCCAACTGATAATAAATATTCTGAAAATTCTTTTTCACCAGGTAAAGTTCTCATATTTTCTGTTAATGATATCACCTTAAAATGACTCCATAATGTGCTAGATTTAATAGATAAGTTAACTAATTTGCTTCTAGTAGCATTAACTTTAACAGGCAATAATTGTCTAAAATCACCACCCAAAAGCATAGTTTTTCCACCAAATGGCATATCAACATTCATAAAATCGCGTAATGTTCTATCAATTAATTCCATAGCATATCTTGGCGCCATTGGAGCTTCATCCCAAAGAAAGACATCAACCTCTTTCAAAAATGTAGCTTCCTTAGATTGACTTTTAATATTTGATGTAGAATCATAGAACAATGGAACAGGCATCCCAAATGTTTTATGTACAGTTTTACCACGGGGAAGTAATATTGCGGCAATGCCTGTAAATGCCATAGTACAAACACATTTTCCTTTACTTCTTAACAAATGGTATAAAGTTGTATAAACAAAAGTTTTTCCGGATCCACCTGGTCCATCAATGTAATAACATGAAGAAGATGGTATTCTTTTATCTTGAATAACTACATTTAATACTTCATCAACAATATCCTTCTGTTTGGAATTCAGTTTCACATATTGCATTTCACCAATCTCTTTATGTTGTTGCAATGACATTTCGTTGTTCGCTTGATTTTCTGTGTTGCGCCAATATTAGCAATATAAAAATTATAAATATAATAACAAAACATATATTAAAAATGTTTAAAAATCATTGAAACAAAAATTTAAATTCATTTTATTTCAAAATAATATTTTACTAAAACTCGCTTCAAGTTAGATTGCAGCAGGTTTAAGATCGCGTTACCATGAGGAATTCCCGAAGTCAGCAAAACGACACTTAGAATACAGTGACTTCACTTGGCAACTCACATCCAAAAGAAATAATATAATTTTATTGTTTCAAAAATAATTTTAATTCACGTAAGATGCAAGCCCTTGAAGTCAACACGGATAATGAAAACGTATAAAGGATTATAGAATTTAAAATTAAATATAATACAATCATTATAATTCAATTAATTATAATTATTGTATTGTAATTATTAGGATTTTAAAATTTATAATTAAAATTAATATAATTAAAATAATACCGCATTGTAATAGACGGGCATCGTGCGAAGAAAACAAAGGTTGTGTTCAACGACGAAGCGCTCTCTCTCGCTCTAACGGAATGTTCGCGACTCTTTACTCCTATAGCCACAAATGCACGGCGGGTTCTCGCTTGCTCTCATTTAAAATGTAACATAGAATACATACATACCCCGGGATCTTTATGAAATACGCATTCGCTTATGTTCCTATACCTATCCTCTCTTTACCCATTACACTTCCCAGACCTACAAGCTATGCTGCCATGCTAACACCAAGCATGTGCATTTCTTTTGATATCTAAACAACTGATCAATTCCAGATCAATATT